CAGCATATCTCAAGGATCATTCAGACGAGAAATATAAGCTGGAAGGGAGAAGATGGATTCATTATATTCAAAATAAATATGGGACTCAGAAACTCCAGATAGTTTATGACTGAAAAGGTGAGGAATGATAAAATCTGTTTAGAGTTAGCCTAACAAAAGAAGAGTTAAAGCACAAATGAAAGAGGATACTAACTTTCTTTTAGTCTATTTTAGAATATGTTTGTTAAAGTTTTATACCCTGTATTTGCTCTGTGAAGTCGGGCGGGGGGTTTGGGAGGGTGTTGGCTTTGGGTGGGGAGGGTGGGGGAGGTAAATATTTGTAAAAGCTTTTTAAAAAATTTTCAATAAAAAAAATAAAAAGGTGTTTATATCATTGAAAGCGCTGTTGTGTGGTTTTTTTTCACAGAAAAGATGTTAATCACGTATGAGTTGTTTTTCTAAACTAAAACCTCATTATTCAGGTTAAATTGGCATGCTGGCACTCTGAGATAATTAAGTGGGTTTTGGGTTGCGGTTTGAGCACTCAGTTTCTAAAAGGTTTGCCATCACTGCTTTATATCCTTTCAGACAAAAGTTGACAAGTCTGTTCTTAAAAAACATCCAGTGATGGAGCATCCACAACTTTTTTTGAGAGATTTTTATTTTTTATTCTTTTGCATAGCATTTTAAGTATACATTTACATAGTTGTTATTCTTCTGTACATTTATCATTCTTATACATTTATTATTTCATTTAATAGGTTATACAGTAATATACAATTTGGGTTTGCTTTATTTACCATCCCTTCTTCCTGTTGTAACACCACCTCATTTTCCCCATCTTTCTTTCAATTTCTCCTCCTTTCTCTCTTTCTTTTCTATTACTGTAGGTGTCTCTTTCCGGCCTCAGTTTATATTTCCTTGGGATGGCAGACCCAAATATAATTTGATATCATTTCTTATTCCCTTATCTTCACTAATCTATTCTATATTTTCCTCCCCTTTATATCTCGCTTTTGGCTGTACAGTTATATTTAATATTTTCTTTTCTGCTTTCCCCTTTGCCCCCCCCCCCCTTTTCCATTTAACAGTGCCTCATCTGGGTTCTATATCTTATCCCTATTTTCTTTTCTGGTTTCCTTTCTCTAGCCAATCATAGAATCTACCCCATGTCTTGAAGTATTCCGATTCCTCTTTATTCTTCATTTTCATTGTCAACTTATTCATCTCTGCACAATCTAATATCTTTTTTATTCTCTCTTCATCTGTTGGTAGCTTATTTGATTTTGAATTTTGGGCAAATACAATTCTTGCTGCTGTAGTTACATGTATAATCAAATAACTATCCTCTTTCTTGAATTTCTCTGGGATAATATCTAATAAAAATATCTCTGGTCTAAATTCTGTTTCTTGTTGTAACATTTTCTTTAACCATACTCTTATCTTAGTCCAATATTTCCTTGCTTTTGCACATGTCCACCATATGTGATAGTATAAGCCTATTGCTTGTTGACACTTCTAACAATTCGCTGATTTGTCTTTAGACATATTTGTTAATTTTCCGGGTATCGTGCTATCTATAGAACATCTTTTATAAGTTTTCTTTATAGGCCATTGACATAGTTAATTTATAGTTTTTCTCCCATAGTTGTTGCCACTTTTCTAGCTCAATCATGTGGTCAAAATTCTTTGCCCCAGTTAACATTTATCTTTAACCACTTCTTCTTCTAAGCTAGTTAATAGGTAGCTATATAGTTTCTTAATTATTTTTTCTTCCGTTCCCATAAATATCTTATCCAGCTCTGAAGTTCCTAAGTTAAAACCATATTCCCTTTTATCTTTTTCATATCTTGCTTGTATTTGCAATTGTGGAAACCATCCTATATCAATCCCTTGTTTTTCTAATTCTTGTTTGTTTTAATTCCCTCCTTCCTTTTAAAATCTTTATATCTAATGATATTTTTCGTACTACTAATATTTGGATGTGTCAATGCTTCCATTGTTAAAACCCACAACTTCTAAAGGCAACTATTTCACTAGTTTATTTTTTCACTGTCAGAAAAATTCTCCTTAGTTCTAGGTTGTTTCTCTCCTTGATTAGTTTCCATCCATTGCTTCTTGTCTTGTCTTCTGATGCTTTGGGAACATGTGGTACTCCATCACTGGAGGCTTTTAAGAAGAGACTGGACAATTTTTGTTGACCCCCTTCTTTGTGGTAGGCCCTCAAATATTGGAATGCTGCTATCATGTTACCCTAGTCCTTCTTTTCATTGGTCCACTTAGTCACTTTGTCAAAGAATAAAATAAGATCTGTTTGGCATGATCTGTTCTTGACAAACATCTTTGTTTGTTTCCAGGTGTTTGAAAATCCCAATTTTGATTATTTTTTCCAGGATCTTCCCAGGTAATCTGATCAGAATGTATCATTTTGATTAGGAAAGCCATTATTCTCTTAGTAAGAACTGTTGTCAAGATGTTCAGAGTTGCTTTGTGATCTGGTTACAAGAGAAAAGATCAAGCATTACAATAATCAAGTTTATGGGAAAGTCAGTTTTCCTTACTGCTCTGAAATTTATTCAAATGTATTTTTCATTCATTTGCTGCAGCTTTATCCCACTTTTCATATTGTTCTTTCCCACAGCAGCTTATTATCAATTAAAAAATGAGAATGCTGCTGTTCCCAATCTTATAAATTAAAAACAAGATACAACAAAAGAGAGGAAATAAAAATAGAACAGATAGATAAGTTTTATTTATTATTGGATTTTTATCCTATCTTTATTATTTATTATATAACTCAGCAAACAAACCATAATACTCCTTCCTCAGCAAACAAACCTTAATACTCCTTCCTCCTCCTATTTTCCACACAACAACTCTGCAAGTTGGGTTGGCCAGTGATTGACCCAAAGTCATCCAGCCAGCTTTCATGCCAAAGGCAGGACTAGAACTCAGTCTGTTGATTTCTAGGTGAGTACAGTACTTTAACCATTAAATTAAACAGATCTTAAGGGCATTGTGACCTGTAAAGTTAGCATTAAATGCTGCAGTATTTCATCATTTTAAATAATTAATTGAACATACTTGATTGATGAGCAAAAAAGCCACAATAAATATGTTAGGACGTTTTTAACTATTAGAAAAAGTAATCTTAATGCAAATAATTATAAAAGCAGCAAGTGGAACAGGTACATAGAAAATACCTCTTCTAAATTTGGATCATCTCATTTTCTAAACTGGAAACCTGTGCAAAGATAATTATTGTAGCTGATACAACTTAGTGACACAAAGTCGATTGACAGCCCATTTCTTAATATTTACTGTGGAGAGCCACTACCCCCTTTCTAGAAGAATAAAATATTTTGAGGAGTATTTTAAAAAGGCAGGATAAAATATTTCCCCTAAAAGAGAAATTTAAAAAAACTTAAGGGAGAAAACAACTCAAAGCCCCAGCTCCCTGCCCTCAGCAGATATTTTGTGCCCATTAAAAAAACCTGGGTCAGCCTATCTACAAAACAAAAGACCTTCAGCTCCAGGGTGAAGATATTAAGACATGAGCCTTCAGGACATAATAGGAATAACCCACTAAGACACAGAGCTCACTACATTGCATAATCTCCTAAGGCCATGTTTCACTCTCAGAAACTTCAACCAAACTTCTTAGACAACCTCCAGAGCCAGCTATGACCCCTACATAACACCTACATGGCCCCATGGGAGCATGACAACAGCCAATAGAATACATGTTGTTATACAGAAACAGGAAGCTCAAGTGCAAAGCCCAAGAAAAGGTATAAAATCCCCTCACTCTGAACTTCATGTTGTCAGCTACCCAGCATCACATGTGCTTGGTGGTTCTGCTTCATCGATAAATGAACTCTTTTTCTAATCAGCCTCCATTTTGTCTCCAGTGCCTTTCTCCTAGCTTGGAACTGAACCAGATGGATATTTCTTCCAACACTACTTAATATTTACTACTTATATATTTTCTCACAACTGAAACTCTTTTCCAGATCGAAAACAAAAAAGGAGAAAAGTTGTAATCAACGATCTGTTTGACAAATTCATAATAAGGTGAGGAGCACACATCTGCATCCATTGCTTCCAACAGTTAGGCTATATTTTAATTTCGATCCTTGATGTCCAACTATTCGGTGGCTTACGTCATCGCCTCCGCTCGTTCGGTCCAATAGGAAGAAAAGAAGGAGGCGGAGACTACATGCGCGTTGCCATGGTCGCAAAGTTGGGTAGCAACGAGAGTGGAGGCGGAGTGCGCATGTGTGGTTTGCGCAGTACCGGGAGTTTGGGCCTGGTAGAGACTAATCTTACCGAAGGCTGCGATGCAGGGTTCCGTGATTCGGCGTACACAGGAGTTGCTGGGGCGCGTGATTCGAAAACCGCCTCTTACAGAGCGCCTTCTCAGCAAGCCCCCTTTCCGCTACCTGCACGACGTGATCGGGGAGGTCAGGCGAAGCGAAAGAGGCGGGAAATGTGTATATGTTGGGGGGGGGGAAGAGGAAACGGTCGGTCGTGTTTCCAGTTGCCTGGCAACTCGAGGAAGCCGCAAAAGAGAGGCATGCAACTTTGAAGGAAGGGTTGTGCAAAGACGTTCCCCAAGGCATTAGGCAGGCTTAGAGAGATGGATGGCATCTTTTCTCCATCCCGTTTGATCCAAGGTTGCATGGTCCAAGGGATGTATGTATGTCAAACCCTCAAATGGCTGTTCATCACGGGAAAAGAAGAAAAGTTGCCGCAAACTACTGATTAAAAACAGTAGTTGCACGTACAAAGGAGGGAAAATTTAGCTATCGTTACTTTTGGCTCTTGTTCGTAAAAGACATATTTTAAACAGGTTTGAAATCTCAAGAATAGAGCTATGGCTTTTAGATATGGAAGCTCAGCATTAACATGAGTGATTCTTTGTCTTCCATCTTTTCATGTGTTGAATAAGTTTCGCTTGTTTTTGCTGAAGGCATAGGCCTTCAGGGAGAATTGTGTTCTGTACTGTACTAGAGGTGATATGAGGATTTAATTCTATCTATAAATGTAATTATACTGTAATGTAAGAATGAACATTATGTAACATTTTGTAGCCTATCATATCAAGTGTATCATTTTCTATTATCATTTAGGCACAGGGGAAAGGAATTATCATTTAAGCAAGTATGAAATGCAAAAGATTATCTGGTTTTGCTCTATGAAGAACTGGGTGGGCTAGTGGCTGGGTTGGAAACCCAATCATATACTGTAACCTTGAGATAATTACCTAGAATTTTTCTTATGAGTACCAAGCCATTATAGTTTTTAAATAGAATATAACTTGTTTTTATATGATTAATTCAGCCAACTGTGCCTTAGCTAATACATTAAAACTACACTAAACCAATAGACTGTGATTGGTATATGAATGTTACACTTATAGTATTTTATGACATTCATGAGTATGCCGTAAAGTCCTCTGCTTATCACTTTTTGATAAGATGTTAAGAGGATTAATCTATATTTATATAATCCTTTATGTAATGGGAAAATGTTTTGGGGACATTTATTTTTTCTGTCAACATTTTTTAATTAAATTATAAATTATTATAAAATACAAAATACAAAGTAAATAGAAAAGCAGTTGAAGGGGGAAGGAAAAGAGAAGTGAGGAAAGATAAGAAAAGAAAAAGAAGCATTGACTTCCGACTCTCTCTTATAGTAAAATAAGTCATTAACATCAAATAACAACCTTTTGCTTTTTCATAATAATATGAACAAGGCATTTCTATAAAGATCTATCAGTCTATTCAGTGAAACCCCAAGTCAGATTTTCATTCTTTTCCACATCAAGCTCGAAGTTCAGAAGCGGTCTCCATTTAGAAACGGAAGTACTTTAATCAAAGTAGTCCATTTTGCCATTTCAGCCAACTCCATCAACTTCTGCAACAATTTGTCCATAATAGGAATCGAAGTATCCTTCCATTTTTGTGCATACTAAAATCTCACTGCGGTCAAAATATATAATAACAAAGTTCCAATTTTTTCCCCAATGATTTTCCATTAAATTCTAAAGAAAAGTTCTGGTTCCATTTTTATCTCCATTTTCAAATTTTTCTGTAGTAAAATATGAATTATACTCCTTTTTTTTTTGCTTTATCACATGTTCACCATAGATGGTAAAAAGTCTCTTTACTTTTACACTTTCATACCATGACATACCTTTATACAGCTTAAATAAGTTACCTGGTCTTAAATACCAACAATATATCATTTTACAGAAATTTTCTTTCAGATTATAATTTAATGTAAATTTTAAACCCTTTGTCCACATATTTTCCCATTGTTCAAGCATCATATTATATCCAAAGTTCCTTGCCCACTGAATCATACAATGTTTTACATGTTCATTTTCCAAATTCAATTTCAATAACATTTTATAGATCTTAGCAATAATATGTTCATCGTTACCACATAATGAACTTTCCAATTCATTTTTAACAAAGTCAAATCCATAACAGTTTTAATACAGTTTAAATCTTTCTTTTAGTTGTTGATAGCTAAACCAATGGCAAACATAAGTTTCTGATTCAAGTTCTTCCCTCATCTTTAATATTGGGTCACCAGAGTTGAAAGATAAAATTTTGCAGTACATCAACCAAACTGGCTTTGCCATCATTTCTTTTCTAAAAAAGATTTCCTGTGGTGACACATAAGGGGGATAACTTTGTAGAGAGCTTGTTTTATATTTATTCTAAACTCTTAGTATGGCAAAATGGTTATTAAAATCCATCTTAACTTTACTTCTATTATTCCTAAATAGCCGTGCCATCCAAATCTTATGGCCCTCTAGTTCAAGTAACCTCTTATTCCAGGGGCTCACCCATTCTTTTGCCCAGATCAAACAGCATGCATCAAAATACAATTCCATATCTGGTAGGCCCTCTTCCCTCTTTCCTTACCATGTCTTTGGAACATTTATTATAGGAAAGTCCTTATTTGATTGAAATTACTTATGAGTACTTGTTTAATGCAAGATGTCATTTAAGGTGAAATAAGCCCCAGGAATTAAGGAGGAAAGCAGTTGTCTCTGATTGTCCCAGCTTAAATCTTTTTCTTTGCTAGTCCTACAAGTTTGAATCAAACTTTCTTCCTTTGTTGCCTGAAAAAGACCAACATAATTGCTCTTACAGGAAGTTCTCTTTGCGACCATATTCCCTGTTGACATTTTTCACAAATGAAAGGCGTCTACAGATAGTCCTTGATGTATGACCACAATTGGGGCCAGAATTTCCAGTTGCCAAGCAACCAAATTTTGATCACATGACGTATGTAAATGCTGTGACAGTTGTAAGGGCAAGGACTGGTTATAACTCACATTTTTCAGTGCCATTGTAACTTCAAAGGATAGCTAAATGAATGATTGTAAGTCAAGGACTGCCTTTACTTGCTTGTATTTAATCATTTTAGAAGATAAGTTTTATTTTTCTATTTAAATCAGCTAGTGTTTGGCTGGATTGTTTTATAATGCTGCTTTACAGAGCCACCCCATTCAAGAATGGTAATTAAAGGTTTTTCTCAAAAACAACCGCTAGTCATCATTCTGTAATTAAAAAGTGATGAAGCCTTAAAATTGCAGGGAATATTATTGGCCTAAGTTTACTTGTTTGTAATTTGTTCTACAACAGAAACATTCCTTGAATAGAATTGTGTCAAAGGGGCAGTGTATTTTAGTTCCTGTTGAAACTTCCAATAATTCAGCACGGAGTTGGACTAGAAAACCTGTGAAGTCCTTTCCAGCCCTATGATTCTGTATTCTATGTTCTGAAGTAGATTTGGGGAACATAGAGAACTACTCTTGAAATGGGAGAAAGTTACTAATGGAACTTTTTCACTAGGTTCAATCTATGCTTACATAGATTGAAATTTGGGTTGACTAGTTTTCCCATCTTCTGGCAATTGTACTGTGTTTTTTTTTATAGAACGTGGTAGACCTATGTACTGTGAGATAACACACGCATAACAAATGATCCATAATATTACTATAACCAATTGGTGATCCTTGCTCTAGTTAAGGCTACAGGTAGTCGGCACTTTACAACCACAATTGAGCTCAAAATTTCCATTGCTAGGCAAAATGTTAAGTGAATTTTGCCTCATTTTACAATTTTTCCTGCCATAGTTGTTAAGTGAATCACTGCAGTTGTTAATAACATGGTTGTTAATGAAACTGGCTTCCCCATTGACTTTGCTCTTTAGAAGGTTGCAAAAGGTGATCACATGACCGCAACCATAATAAATACATGCCAGTTGCCAAGTGAGAAAATTTTGATCCTGTGGCTAAGGGGATGTTGCAATGGTTGTAAGTGTGAAAAACAGTTAGAAGTCAGTGGTTGCAAGTCAAGGACTACCTATGTTTTATTATCCCATTTTGCTGGATAAGAACACTTTTAATCATGGCTATAATGTATTGCTCTGAATTCATTAATTTGTAATGCAAGTTGAATGTATTGACGATAGAAGTTTCTAAACTAGTTAGTATTCCAATATTAGCTATGGTTTTAGAAGTTTTATATGCTAAAAATAAAATTTATAAATCCTCCCAATTCTATGGAAACTTCCACTAGTTTCAATATCATAGAACTTTATTAAACTATAAAACCAAATTATATCCTAAATGTAATATGAGAATGCTATTTATTGTGGATTAATGTTATTAGTTCTACAGTTAATTGAACCTGTGCAAATTATTTTTATACTTTAGAAAGATCCCATTAAATAAAGTTGCACTCTGTAGTGCTTATTGAAAAGTAATCAGAATTATTTCAGAAAAAACAATATTATAAACAAACGTCTGCAAAAATCAGTACAGTTACTTCATTGTTTCAAGATTCGATTGCTTTTAAGTGTTATATTATGCAGCTGTATTTGTATTTTATATTGTTAAGTTGTACAAAAAGTATATGCATTTGAGAGCTAGTACCATAATAACATTATCATTATTTTTAAAGGTAATTAGAGCAACTGGTTTCATGAAAGGATTGTATACAGAAGCAGAGATGAAATCTGATAATGTTAAGGTATGTATGCACTCATCATTTTTTAATTTATAAAATATTGTATAGATGCAATTCCATTAAATATCATTTAATACAATGTGAGAATTGTACCAAAATGCTATTTTATAAATTAAAATTTATAAATTAAAAATTAGCATCACAATTTACATTGAAAACTATATCTTTTATTTAACACTATATTGTTTTATTCAGGATAAAGATGCAAAAATAATCTTTCTTCAGAAAGCAATTGATGTGGTCATCATAGTGACAGGAGAACATTTGGCAGTAAAACCTGCACGTGTTGTTGCAGGACATGAACCTGAAAAAACAAATGAATTTCTCCAAGCAATTGCTAAATGCTGTCTCAATAAGGTAAGATGTTAGTATTAATTTGTGAAATATTATCTTAATTGAATTTTAAATACAATTTCAAAGACCAGTTGAAAGAGAGGTGGTTTCAGGGGAAATATTGGACTCAGGAGAAAAGTTGAAATGAGTGTTGCGAGGGAGAATTAAGCTCTCTCTATCCAATGTTTTTCCTTTGAAATTCACTAGATGACTTCCTATGAATGCTAGAGGCCAGATTTGATGAGGTGGAGGAGGACTTGTATGTGGAAGATGATTTATAGGCCGCCCTTCTCCCTGAGGGGACTCAGGGCGGCTTACAATCACAGGGAAAGGGGTGCAATACCAAAAGACAAACAGTAAGTGAACAAAATAAAATAATAAAACACAACTTGCATTCAACAGTCAACACTCGGGCGGGTAATACACATATACACATATACACATACATACATACATACATACATA